AATGTGGAAGCGAAATAATAGAATTAGGGTTTACATTCTTTACACAATAGTTTAAAATACCCAATAGGGCTACGAGAATGTTCTTTCTAAAAGAACAAACGAAAATCAAAGAAATAAACGAAAACTAAATAACTGAGCATCCTATGACGACCTTCACTAGCTTTTCAAGGAGTTCAGGTAGTGAACTATTCACAACTCCTTTGTTGATCGGGATCTGGATCTTGATCTTGATCCTCTTGATCTGAAATAGTTAATGAATGGGTGAGCTACAATAGCTCAGTAAGAATATCACATTACGCACCGATATAGAAACTAAAAGTTGGTAAAAATTATAAAAATAATCAATTGAGCTCTTAATTTAAGTAAATTCATTTACCATAAGTAAAACCATTTATTGTATGTTTACCGTTGCAAGATTTTTAAAACTGATCTATAGAAACAATAGTTCAACAACATCATAATTTCATATTTACGTAAGTAAGAATAACAACTTTCTTTTTTTATTTGCTTACTGGTATCCATAGGGATCTATAGAGATGTTCCACTAGCATGAACCAACATCCAACCTTATTATCTAACCAGCTGTCCCCAAGACTTATCCGGTATGAGCCTTAAAAATACTATCCCTCAATACTTCGTCCGGTATAAGGGCGAAACAGGTGGTGCATATACCTCGTCCGATATGAGCGCCAAAAATACCAATCCTCGATACTTCATCCGGTATGAGGCGACATTCACAGTAGGGTTCCCTATGTACCCGATCCGTTTATCATCTATCAGAATATCCAATAAGGCTACCACTTATTCATTCACTTAACTAATTAATTTTTTGTTTACATTTAATTTTCAATTTCACAATTCAATCATAAATTATACAAGATAAAAAATACATGCATCAAAAAAATACAACTGAATTATCTTACCAATTCTAATATATTATCATGCATTTAAAGCTGTAAAATAAAAAAATCGGTTAAACATGACAAATAATAATAAATATCCATTTCTAGTTCCCTTAGCAACTTGTAATTAATTATCAAAATTTTATAAATCACGCAAAGTACCATATTAGTGATAATTAAACTTGAATTATATAACAGGAAATAAGGTGGGGGACTCTTATCCGAATCGGTGTCCGAAATATCGAACTTTCAGTTGCACCTAATGGCGGTCTCCGAATTTTTTGAATTTTTATGCGGAGATTAAAACACACTTCACATACCTAAAAATATCTCAAAAAATCCAAAATCAGTGTTAAAAAGTTTTTTTGCCATTTTTGGAATTCCATCATGGCAGCACCGCCATGTTCCGGCGACGGCACTGCCGCCCGCAGCGGTGGTTTGCCTCAGCTTGACCATTTTCGGTCGATTTCGGTCAGTTTTACACTCATTTCTACGAGAAAACACATTAACGGGTCTCAGTTGGCCGAAAAAGTCAAAAAATAAAAACTTACCAGTGGCAGGATTTTTCGGTGCAGTGGCTCCGCTGACTCACATTCACGGCTGAACATTTTTATTCAGTTAACCTGTAGAAAACAGAATGGTGAACACAATAGTGGAAAAATCGCAGGAAAGAAAAACGAGAATGGGCTCATCGGAGGCGAATTTGAGTTTTGCCTGCAGCGGCAGCGCCGGGCTTTACTAGCAGTTTCTTGCTCATTTGCTGTTTCTTTTACTCTAATTTGGTCATCCGGGTGTTTGGAATCAAATTTCGAGTAGACAGGAGAATTTTTACCATTTATGGCAGTCAGAGGTGGCTCCAGTATGGCGGTGGGCGGCGGTCAGCTCCCTTCTTCGAAAACTGGTTCTTCTTCTCCGGTGGGAGGCTGGCGACTAGGATTTAGGTTCGATATGATGCGAGATATTTATACCCATTTTTCTTAAATATTGGCCATTCATTGCATTTGATATCAACAGTCCGATCGCGTTTAAAAAAAATAAATCTGAATCGTTCATCACAATTTGATCTCGACGGTACGATCGCGTTTAAAGAGAAAATAAATCTAAACAGTTCATCACGTTTAATCATGACCATCTAATTGTGCTTGAGGAGGGAACAGATTCGGATCGTCCATGCGCGCAGGAACGCATCCGAGTTGTCTGATCGCGGGCATACGGATTGCCAGAGTGGCCTCCTGCATGACACCGAGCCAGTTTGCCTTGCCACGCGACAGTCTTCGGTTTGTCGGGGCTACTGAGTAGGTGGTTCTACGTGGTGCAATTTTCTTTAATTGTGTTTTAACTCCGAGTTTCCGATTTTTCTTTCAAATATATCATCCGAGCCCAAATTTTCTCCAATTTTTTACAAAATTATTTTCAATTTCATCATCAACTTATTTTTTTTTTTCTAATTTTACATTAAACAAAATTTAAAATTTTAAAAATTATATTTTTATGCATTTTTTAAACTTTTAAAATTAATCCCGGGTCAAATTTCGGATCCGAGTATTACAGGTCAACCTGTAGAAAACAGAATGGTGAAAAACAACGGTTGAAAAATCGCACGAAACGGGGACCAGAAAGTGGTTCATCAGAGGAGGTTGTGGGTTTTGGGCCGCGGCAACCCCGCCGGGCTTTATCTTCGATTTTTGGCTCATCTGCCATTCGTTTTGCTCCGATATGGCTACAGGAGTGCTCGAAATCGAATTCCGAGCGATTAGGAATTTTTTTTACCTTTTTTAGCGGTCGAAGATGGCTCTGGTGCAGCGGCGGTAGACGGTTGGCTTTTTTCTCCAGCGTCTGGTCATTCTTCTCCGGTGAGGGGGCTGGCGGCTAGGGTTCAGGTTCGGTGTGATGTAAAATATTTATACTCATCCCGCGTAAATCTAGACCATCCATTGTGATCGATCTCATTCGTTCGATTACACCTAATAAGAAAATGG